GGTATTACCATCTAGTACTGCTGCATTGCCTTTTTGGTTAGCAGAGTTTAAGCTTATGTAAAGATAGCAGATTTTAAACTATTATCTGACAAATTCCATTAATATGGTATACTTTATGACTTTAAAAACAAGCTTTCAAGCCCCAAATCTATTAAACTATTATCTAACATAAAATTAACCTAGCATGAAAGAACTAGCTTAAAGGCAGGGTAGGTGATTTGGTTCAAAAATATTTTTTGTTATGCTGGTTAAAAGTCTCTTCACATCCTGATAGCAATCACTAAGGTTAAGTGGTCTAAATGTATTTATATGTATTTATATTGTCTGTGGAAGGCCATAAAATGTGGAAGACCATAAAATGTTCGTCCAATCATATCCCTCGGTCCGAGGACTACGATAGGCTGTCCTACCTGCCTGTCAGCGTATGTATTTGCATACCTTCGCACACCCTGTTCGCGCAGACGTGATACATCATCAGCGTGTTCCATTAAGCTATTGCAGACCGAGCGAGAATGGAAGACGTTATTATTGTAATATCATGCGCTTTGTACTGTAAAGTTTTCTCACCGGTAAATGAGACATGAGGTAATCTGACAGCGTTGCATTCAACCCTCCACCAACGCCGTCTCTCATTGTGTCGCTGGTTAGCATCTGGTCTGCCTGTGCGCATTCATGTGTTTTGGAGGAGGCGTGGCTTTGGAGAGTGATTTGCAGGGAGGGTGGGAGCTTATGCTTTCAAAGCTAGCTTGCTATTGCAAGCCTCTAGAAATCGCCTACCCTACCTTTAACTAGCTTAGTTCCATGTCAACCGTCTCGACCACCTTACCTATATTCAACAATTAAAATCAAATAAAAATGTCATAATTGTAGTATAATGTGTTAAACTGATATTTAGTTCTTTATAATAAAATGACTAATTTATTAATAAAATGATTATTAATTTTTATTAACAATAAAAAAACTAAATATTGTCTACACTACTTAAAGTATAATTTATTCCTTGTTACAAAAAAATATTACATTCTTTAATATTAATTTAGGTTCTACCGTAAATAATCTCTACATTTTCTCAACATTTACACGAACTGTAATTGACAACATTTGACAAGCTCAACCCTCTTATGCAAGTGATTTTATGGAAAATTATCAAACAAATATTGTTTCTTTAATTGATGGGAAATTTGAGTTTATTTGTAGCTACATTATTTAATTGTTAGACAATATTGCAATTAATATTTTCTGAAGGTTAAGCACCTATCACTGACCAATTGTTGAAAAAGTAATATAAATACTTCAATACTGTATAATAAACAAAATACAGGAGTTTTGAGCTCATTTGTGTCTTTGAAAGATATATTAATATGTAGTATAAAAATGATGGTATTTAACTTCTTTTCTGGGTTACATACTATGTAATCTTTTTTAATCCATATTTGAATATTGCATATGATAGTTTCACTATATACACACTGACAATTTCTTGTTACTAAGTTGTGTTAAAATGTATATATTGTGGTTGATTTTTCGAGCATGTGTGTGTGTGTGTGTGTGTGTGTGTATGTGTGTGTGTGTGTATGTGTGTGTTTGCATTCAATAACTTGAGAGGCCTCTGGACTCTTCAACCAGAGTTTGGTACTTTACTGACACAGTGCAGCCTCTAGAGGGAGCTCTCTGTTACTTTTCAAAAGGACAACTGTTAATTGAGACTAATTGGCGCTGTAGAGTTCTCTGGTAGTGTACTGAGTATAATGAGGAATACACCAGTAAGTTTTCAGACAGATTTGGACAACATCTCCCTCTGCCTCTTTGCTGGTTTAAATTAAATAGGCTACAGAAGAAGAGCTAATTTTGGAGGTTGTTCTATTTTTGAGGGTCATAGTTGAGCTCTGCACAGGAGTGACAGTGTGGATGCTGGAAGCTATGCGCTCCTCTCCATTCATCTTTTTTTAATTTCTCTTATGGTTTGGGGAAAAGGCACCCTGCTCTTGAGGTTCTTGTTTTCCTTTGTTTAGCTAGTGTGTGTGTGTGTGTGTGTGTCAGCCTGTCTTTTTTTGTGTAAATTGTAAGTGGTTATTACATGAATGCATTCATATCGTATCAAGCATGCGTTATCAATGCCGAACACATTTTATTGCAGCATTTTACATGTTGACAGATCTCTTTAAAAGCTTTAGATGCAAAAAAGGTCTCTTAAGTGGGCAGAATCTACTAAAAATGGCTCTAAGAAAGTAGATTATAATTTGGATGCTTTCTTTCATTAGCCTTTGCTTTGATATATGCTGCCAATATAGCAACACTGTGCACCAAACTCAAATGTAATGAAAATACAAGAGTAATTGCCTCAGATGTATCCGATTAGATCTGCGCTCCATTTGTCACTAATGCTGGCCTGAAAGGTTTTGTCCAAATTCTCCTTTGCTGCTATTAAAGAAATCCAGAGGTGGTCATTCACAATCGAACACTGGTCACCTATGATATGAGGAACTGTGATTAAATTACATAGAGAACTGCAGGGAACAGTGTTGATCGAGAAAATTGGAATTCACAGAGTTCGGCCTACTTTCAGACTGTATTCCATATGGCTGGCTTTCTCTCGTCTTCCAGCAAGACACGTTTCACAGCTTTCAAGGCCACCGCCACAGTATAATATAATGAGATTGCGAAAAAAAAAAGCAAACAAACTGAGAGCGGCCATTTTCTACAGCTGTCAACTTATTACTGAAAGCCAGACTTGTTCCACTAGCAGGACTGAGGTGATGGAATGGAGAAGGGGGCTTGACGGCTCTGTGCTCAGACTAGAAAGAGGCGGAGGGGGGAGGGGGCATTGGATTGAACCTCAGCGGTGAGTTGCTTTGCGTTTGTGTCTTTTTCGCTACCCATTTCCTTCCAAAGCTTTCAAGTCTGGGCCCAAGTCGACGTAACAGTCACTCACTTTTACTTTAAATTATTGAGAAGAAATCGTTTGCATTCTATCTGCGTTGGTCAGGTTTTGCCAACATTGTGGTGACAAGTCAATGGTCGCCACGTATGGAGGACAAGGACTGCCACATATAAAAAAAGAAGGAATCTATTATGTATGTGTGTATGTATTAAGTTTGTTCTGTTTCTTCATGTCATTCCAGATCAGATCTCTGTGTGAAGCACTGGCTGCTGTCAGACTCTCACTGGATTATTACATCTCACTGGATTCAGTTACACATACAATATGATATATAATTTGTAGTTTGTATATAATATTAATATTAGTCTAATATTAGTAATAATATTAATATTTAAATTTCTATAATGCATTTGATAGTTTTTATGTTTATAGTTTATTAAATTATTTAATTCATGTAAAATACTAAATTTATAAATCATTTTTCAAATTAAATAAGCATGATTAACTGTTAATAGCAAAACCTCATAGGTTGCTTTCATGTGTGAATTGTCTAATGACATTTTTTAACTTGACTAGCAATTAAAGAAATGCTTTATGAAACAAAATGCTATTTAAATGTTTTATTGAAAAAAATACTGTTGATATTTGTAATATTTACTGTTACTACATTTTACTACATATTTAAAACTTAATTAAATAAACTGTTTAAATATGTCTATATATCAGTTTGATTTTTAAATTATTTATATATTTATTTTTTTTATATATATTTTTTTTCAATTAACAATTTTATTTGTTAATTTTATTTTTAAGTGGCACTCCTAGTCCTTCATTCCAACAAGGAAATTGGCTTAAAAAAGAAATTAAATAATGTCTAAAAAAACAAAATTAATGTATGAAATCTATTAATGTAAAAATGAAGAAAAATTTCTGTAAGGGGATAAAAATATCATATAATTTATCATGTGCATAAACATAATAAACATCGATGGAAAGTGCGCAACATAAAACTACATGTGTGTATCTTTTATACTGTATTAACCAATAAATAAAGTATCTGCACATTCTGAACTGTAGAGTTGTTCAAAAAAATGCATGGTACTACCGTGGTACATATTCAAAAATCACTGTATTACAGTACCATTATATCATGTACAAAATGTATTATATGAATCAGAAATGGGCACCAAACTACGTGCATTTTTCCTTCTGCTATGCTGTCTCATTGGTCAGTTAGATCAAAGTGAGATCATAACACTCAGCATCAACTATCTGAAGGCTAAAATCGAATTCACACACATAATCACATACATAAACACACATATACAGACACACACACTGACCTTTCACTCCCTCTAAGCATAGTTTTACACACAAAGAAGTGAGAGCGCTTGCTCATGGCACACTGGCATACACACTTTTCCCCGTGGATGCCATTCCTGGCCGGCTCTGCCCGCACACAAGCCAAACTCTGGTTGGGTTGCTTCAGGCATTTTGCTTCCTCTTATTGATTTTTCTTATATTAGCTAACCTCACCCATTTCTCCATTCTGTGAGCCTTCCTCAAAGATACCTAATGTTTTTGGAGTTCTCATATAGCGTGAATACAATGACTGCAAATAATGCATCTCTCAGTAATGTAGTTAAAGAGGCAATAAGACGTGTTTTCTGTTTGCTATTCTTGTAACTGCTTTTCCTATCAGCTGTAAAACTGCAGCACGCTGCTGCGCGTGCTGTTTATGTGGCAAATCAGAAAACACAGTCAAGGTATCTAGATCCTAGTTTCAGTCCCAGATATCAGCCAGGCCAATTAATCAGCTGGTATTCGGTCTTTTTGAAATGACCACCATTGGCATGCTTGGTCGATTAACACAAGTGTGTCTGTTCCAAAGTCTTCCGAAAGCCTTGTCAGTAGATAATAAACATATTCTGTTTTCAGAATTTTGTAATAAGGTTTGATTAACTAATTTTGTGTTTCCTTTGCTCTAAATGGGATCCAGTGCTGCTTTGGGCAAAAACAGTAGAAACAGTCAAAATATTTCCATTTTGTAAGACAGCCTGTAATCAGATATTGTCTGCATCTGCTCATGTCTGTTTCTGTCTTTTCCTTCTCTTTCTAGGCAATCAAGTGGAACTGTCATAAAGAACAGGTATGCTTGTTAAATCCAATACACAGATCTTCCTACTCCTTGCAGCTTGAGACTGTAAAGGTGCTTCAGCGAAATATTTAGTTAAGGGTATGAATACGTACCTATTTCAGTTTTTTTTTAAATAAATTTACGAAGTTGTGACAATTCTGTTTTTGCATTGACAGTATGGTGTATGGTATGTAGATTGATGTGGAAAAAAAGTAATTTAAAGCAGTTTAACATAAGGCAGCAACATAATAAAATGTGAAAAAATGAATACTTTCGCAAGGCACTGTATCATATCCAAAGCACAGATGCAGTCACATTTACCATTGCTTTGATGAAATTTTGCAGTCATAATCCAGTCATTTAAATAGGAATTCACACGATCTGGAGTTTTGAGTGAGGGCAAAAAATTTCCCCATGTAGATTTTATCATTGATTTTAAGGCACACGAATTCGCAGCATTGTCCAACACAAAGCTGCTTGGTTTAAAAGTGACCTCTTTGTGAGATTTCTACAATGCTACACTATTAACAATGGACAAAATTTTGCTAAAATTTTCCTAATGTGGCCGCACCATTAAACCACCAGCAGAAGCAGGCTAACAGTATAGGAATATTGAGACATCATGACTTAAGGAACCGATTGAGGAACACTTTATCAGTTTAAGTAACTGTAACTTGCTCAACAAGATTTTCTTCAAACAGTTGCTCCACCATGAAAGTAGTTGATCTGAAGGAGAAAACTGACAACAGAAGTCATTTTTGCAAATAGCATGCTATAGCACCCCTTGTGGAAGTATTGAGTATGCAGCATGTATTTGCGTTCACATATTCACGGATATATTTTCAAGATATAGAATCAAGATATTGTGGACATGAATTTAGAATTTGTTCCCACATTCATTAATGAGTTTAACTTGGCAACAAATCAAATTAAAGGTATAGTCCAACAAAAAATGAAAATTCTGTCATCATTTACTCACCCTTATGTAAATTCAAACCTGTGGTGACCAAACATTTTGGGGACCAAATGGTTTCCGTTCCCATTGACTTGCACTGTATGGTCCAAAATGTAATGGAAATCAATGGGAACCAAAGCTGATTGGTACCAGCATTTTTCAAAATAAGAAAGTAAGTCATACAGGTTTGAAATGACATAAGGGTGAGTAAATGATGACAGAATGTTTGGGTGACAATATATTATATATATAAAGTTACATTAATGGGCCCTTTTATGCCTTTATTTAGACAGGATAGTAGAGCGCAAACAGGAAAGCATTAGGTGAAGAGAGGAGCAGAACCGGCAAAGGACCTCGAGTTGGGAATTGAACTCAGGTCGCCGTGAGCGTAGATGCGCTGTATGTCGGCTGTATGTAGCACCACAAGGCTATTGGTGCAGACGGGTGACCAATATATTTAACTAAAATGAATGGATGAATTAGTAAGTCTGTAATAAGTTATGGGAACAAATTCTTAATTTGTGGCCACGATATTTATTTTTTCTTCCACATGTCGCGTGTATATTTCCGATCTAATTGATTGCTTTTTCCATTGTGCTTGTGGTAAATGAAAACAAGCTGTGCCATACAGAGAAGCCACCTTATCTCACCAGTTCAGGAAGTTCTTGAGGGAACTGCTGTTTTTCCTCCAACTCTTTTCGCCTGTTGGAGAGGCCCATTATGGAGTATTCTGTTTGAAACATTCAAAGTCCAATCAGAAAGCCTTTCAGAAATTGCTCAAAAACAGAAGTCTTGAAAGCTCATTTGACAAGGACTTTCTCTGAAGAACAATTTCTCACATAGTCACGGAGATGCCTAACTTAGTTTTTTTACTCACTCGCTGACCTTTAGATATTGCCTGGTCCATTGTGTGAGACTGGCCGCTGACTGTTTAAATGGAGCCCACAGTACTTCACCACAGGACTTAATATTTCCCCTCTGGTGGACCTGAGCACATGACATTCGATGCACTTTAATTTACTGCCCCTGCACACTTAGTGATTTTTCAACCCACATGTTGAGGATTGATTCCAGCCCGCACCGAATGACCAGGATGTGGCCCCCAAATCAAACATGGACTAAATTAGGTTGAAAATATGTTGTTTTGCTCCGGCCGCCATTTTGTTTGGAGAAATGAGGGCTATTTATTTCAGCCTGACTGAGTTGTTAGTCTTGAGCCCCCGCAAGGAGAAATGGATGAGTTCACCAATCACAATGCTTTTACACTTACATCATCAACATCACCTCAAGCCTCTGTCAATTTGTTATCAGGCTTGTTTCAGGGATGCGGTCATTATTGCATAATGCAGTTTTCCTTCATTTCTCACTCCTGCAGACCAGTGCTTTTGATTACAATGAAACAAATGATGACGCATGAGACGGAGACTGTGTCCCAGAACTCACCAATACTTCCGTAGGGCTAATTTTTACCATAGCTTATAACATAGCAGGGAGTTTATTCAGCCGGTTTGCACAAAGAAAGAACGAAGGAAGAAAAGGCAACTGCGGGAGAGCAGGGTTAAGGAGAGTACTGTCAGGACTTTTTAAGCATCCCCCAATTATTTCTGCACTTTTGATCTTTCCTTGTGTTAACAATGGGAGAGAAGATGCAGAAAAACTTCAGTGCTGAATAAACTAGAGCAGAATCAAAAGAATATCTGGACTAAATTCAATACCACTTTGATTGCATTGCCAAACATTATTACACGTCTCATTCTGAAATACTTGATTTTGATTGGTCACTTGGCATTTTGCACTATTAAATAATGATAGCTAAACTCTATAATTGCAGAGTTTCCTGCATAACTGTGTTCGCAGTGAAGGAGACTTTATGAAAAAGAAGTACACTCATCATACTTTTAAAAAGAGTAATAATAGAGTAATAATAAGAGTAGTAAAATAAATAATATACTTAATTTGAGCTGAATGTAATGTTTTCAGGCACTAAATTGGATGTTAACTGCAATTATTTAAATGTATTATAGTTTAAATTTATATTAAATGCAATTGGTTGAACTTTAAAATGCTTTTTTCATCCACTTAAGTTGGACTCATGTACATCTTTCTATATAATTGCATAATTACTTTTATTGTCGAATATACTGATATTATGTATGGTAAACTAAAACCAATAAAATGGTAAACTAAAAAAAAAAAAATATTAAAACATAATGATATAAATATACATAATGTACTTTAAAGTAAAACTTTTCATTTGACATTATTACTGTACAAAGCACACTTTCTAAAACACAGTCATGAAAGTGTACTCTCTTTAAGTACACTTAAGTGGCCATTTATTTCATTAATATTTTGTTGTATATGTGAAACTGGGCCACAAATCCAGTCATTGTCAGTCCTGTGTTCAGTGTCTTGTATTTTCCTCCCCCACGTGCTTTCCATTACCCAGTTTCTCCCATGGTAATTATGTTCATTGTTCCCGGGTGTTTCCTATGTTTATGATGTGATTTATTCCAGGTGTGTCTCATTTGGTTCCAAGTTCTTAAGCCCTGTGTTTTTCCATGTCTAGTGTCCGGTATTGTTCGTCTATCCCCTCTGCTCTGTGTGCTTTGCTTTGGTTTGGATTAATAAAGACTGTTTCAAGAATTTCCCTACGTCTCCTCGCTCCTTCGCTCCTCGCTCTGTCACAGTAGCAGCAGCAGCGTGACAGAATACCGGACCGACAAAAAGTAAGCGGCGCCCCTTCTCCCCATTTTGTTTCCCGTTTTTTGAAAAGTCTTTTGTTTTCTTGTTTCTCCCCGCGGCTATGGATGTAGCCTCTCAGTTCTCCACCCTAGCCCATAGGGATCTCTCCTTCATTGAGTACGCCTGGGCCGTGGCACTCTCAAGCCCGCCGGACGCTCAGCAGTCAAGCCCGCCTGCCGCTCCATTTACCCCTAACCAAAGGAGGAGGATGAGGAGAAGGAGACTGTTCTCCGCCCTCATCCCAGCCCCTGAGTCCTCTCCAGTGTGGGCTCCAGCCCCTGAGTCCGCTCCAGAGAGGGCTCCAATCCCCGAGTTTAGCCCAGAGAGGGCTCCAGTCCCCAAGTTTAGCCCAGAGAGGGTTCCAGTCCCAGAGTTTAGCCCAGAGAGGGTTCCAGTCCCCGAGTTTAGCCCAGAGAGGGCTCCAGTCCCCGAGTCTAGCCCAGAGAGGACTCCAGTCCCCCGAGTTTAGCCCAGAGAGGGTTCCAGTCCCCGAGTTTAGCCCAGAGAGGGCTCCAGTCCCAGAGTCTAGCCCAGAGAGGGCTCCAGTTCCCATGTCCAGCCCAAGTAGGGCTCCAGTCCCCATGTCCAGCCCAAGTAGGGCTCCAGTTCCCACGTCCAGCCCAAGGAGGGCTCCAGTTCCCA